ATCCATCCGTCCTGTATCCATCCATCCATCCTGTATCCATCCACCTATCCATCCATCGCCAACTTACATATTAATCTATCATTTTTTTCGTTCAGCCAATATTTCCTTCCTAAATCATTCCACACGAATGTTATTGCTGAATATGAATTCTGTCGACTGCGCGAAGCCATCATTTTTCATTCCTAACGAGGAGGGGAGATAAGTCCTCTTTTGCTGAAATCATGTTATTTTACTTAAAGCCTGCACAACCCGTTTCCATGATCAACTTATCCCCAGCCTTTGATCATGTGGCTCTCCTGCTTCAAGACTTCTTTGGCGAAGGTGCATGGGGGAACCTTGAAAGGGTTATCAGCAATCATGCTGCTAATGTCCGAAATATGTATAGTTTGATGCCTATTGACAGTGGGAAGGACTTTCCAAAGTCATTTTCAAAGATGGGCTACCATGAATAAAAACTTAACTTATGCAGGCGTTGTAGAGCTCACGCAGAAGCTGACAGCCGCTGCAATGTATGGTGTTTGTCCATCTCAAAAGAAACAAAATCACACATCTCAGAACTTTACCTTGGTGAAAAAGACTTTTTTTCTCCAGAAGTCAGGAATAACCTTCATATTCATCTTAATTTTATTTGGAAACTGTCTATTCCGCTATTCATGTGAAGCTGCGTTGATCCAAAGCCAAGGAAAGGAGTGGTAATGACTTTGAGCACCAGTAGGACGATGAGGAGACGAAATCCCCCTCCCAGCCTCAATTTCAAATCATTTAGAACGTTGGCTTTGCCACATGAGGTCTTAATCTCTTATGAAACAACACCTCCTTTCCTTGTCCCAACTGTTTCTAAGGCAACCCGTCTGGTACAACTTCGAGGTGCATCGAGATTTCAGAAATAGATGTTTTGCCTTCAGCAAGAAAATCAGACTAGACAAAGCCCTTCGTAATCTACCACGCGTAAACACAAGAAGCAAGCTTTGTATTGTGAGGGTTTAGAGTTCTATGTCTTGGGAGTGTGCAGAGGGTAGCCGACTGTTTTGAACTAATTGATGGTGTCCATTCAATTAATGCAGGAAGCACAGCGCCTTGAGTAAAGCAGCAGATTCAGTGATTATAAAACTTCAACGAAATAAAATACCAGAACCAAAAAAGAAAAGAAAAAACGGAACCCCCGACAGACTCAGTCCTCTCTCCCTCTTCTTTCTGCTTCCCCTTCTCTATTTTCTTACTTTTGACGACTTTTTAGTTCAATTTTACTTTCCTCTTCCGCTCCGCTTCGCCTTGCTACGTGTCGCCTGGGCTAAGCTCTAACTGCGGTCATGTCGGCATTTGCCGACGCCGCCCGACCGACCGAATGAACGAACGAATGACTGACTAGCTGACTAGCGGTCGGTTTTATAAGTGAGTTTTTTGAACAAATTTGGCCTCTCATATAGACATTGTCGTTGCTGTCGTCGGGTGCCTTACTTCAAAAAACAGAGGGGCGGAAAGAGGGATAGGGAGGCATCCGCACTGCTACGACTGCCAGACTGGTGCAGTTGGAGGAGAGAAAAAAGGCGGAGGAAAGAAGTTGAGAAGCAGTAGTGGTAGTAGACTCGAGATGAGTAGTGTCCGAGCCTACCTTTTTTCACCCAGTAGAGGGAGAGAAGGGAGACAAATGATCCAAATGGGCTGAAATCTGTTAAAGGTTTCACTTAACCTTCATAACTTACAATCTGACTGCCAAAGCACCATTTTATCGCCTTTTAATGTCTAGTTTATCAGACCTTCTTGTTCAAAAAACTAATCAAAAGGAAAAATGTAAAGAATTTCGAAGAGTATTTGAGTTGACAGTCTGTTTTGGAAAAGGACAGTTTATTTTAATCAAGGATTCTAGCCTTGCCATGCATATTGCAATTATTTCAGTCATTCATCCTAAATTCTTCCATCAACCTCAAATTCATCCATCCATCCCCTATCCATCCATCCATCCTGTATTTATCCTGGATCCAAATATCCCTATATTTATCCTTCCATCCATCCATCCATTCATTTGTCTATCCCTTGACACCATTAATTCACAACCCCTACAAAAGCAGAAAATAAATATGCCCTACAGCTAACGGACAAAACCATTTCTCTTAAGAATTTAAATACCACCTTCTGCTAATGTGAATACCTCCGACAATTGGAGTCGAAAAATTATTCCACTTGTTCTTAAGTGATTGAGATAAGTTTCCTTCCTGGTTTAATAGGGACATCCAACAAAAGAGGGAGAATAGGCGGTGTCTCCCAAATGGACGAACTACAGAAGCGTTGTTCTTGGTTTTTAATCAAACTCACGGCAACTGCTACTTAAAATTCGGATTAGAGATGAATAACTTCGCAGGTAACTCATTCACCTTGATTCATCCACTCAAAATTTCTTGTCTGCCAAAGCCACTGGTGATGAGGCAAGGAGGAACAAAGCACCTTCGCCTTTGATTTATTATTGACAATAGGAGAAATTGGCTGCCTCCACGATATTAACACGAGGCTGGAAGTATTATTGCTGCTGTGCCAAACCCCAACACCTCGCCAGAGAGGTTGAGAGAGAGAGAGAGAGAGAGAGAGAGATAGGGAGGGAAGAAAAAAGATTTCGCCTTCGCGACAAGCCGATGCCGACTAAAAGCAGGATAATTAGATTTATTCTGTAGGAATCTGAGTAATCTCGAC